AAAACAAACAAAACCAAATTAAACCCTGCGGCTCGTGACGATACATTGAGGTCTTAAGACACGAAACGATCGGTTTGTGCAAGAAACTGAACAGTATTTATATAGTTTTTTTTATTGCTGCCACCTATCTCTCAAATGGACCATTGACACTCTATCAACAATCTCAATTAGGAGTGTCAATAACCCATTTGAGAGATAGGTGGCGGTAATGCACTTATAAGTCTGCGATCTGCCGTAAAGCAAGAAGAAGAAGACACGTCACGCGCCGGCTGTCAAGGACGCGCTCAGGACAGTTCAGACACTGCGGTGAATCAGAGTTAAAAAACGATATAAATACTGTTCAGTTTCTTGCACAGACCGATCGTTACGTGTCTTTACACATCAGTGTATCGTCACAAGCCGCAGGGTTTAATTTGGTTTTGTTTGTGTATGTTTTTTGACTCTCAAAGCCGTGATTCCCATTCACTTCCATTATATGACTGACAGACTTCAACGGTTTGAGTTAAAAATCTCCGTTTGTGTTCTACTGAAGAAACAAAGTCACCTACATCTTGGATGCCCTGGGGGTAAGCAGATAAACATAAAATTTTCATTTTTGGGTGAACTATCCCTTTAACTGTAAATGATATGCATGTAAAAGTGGTCAGCATGTTCTCACAATTGCTAATCAATTTTTCTCATTTCATTCGATTGCAGAATAAACAAAGTGTGGGTGATGAGAACATAGAGTGCCAAATCTCAAGTGATTCTTGGGAAGAAAGTAGTCTGTACAACCACTGGTCTTAAAAGTCTTACATTTGAATAAACAAAAGTGGCATGATGTTAAATTTAGTTCCTGATTTGGATCTCAATGAGGAAACAATTGATCAAATCCAGCACTCAAAGCACCATGCATAAAAAATGAACGTAGAGAGTAAATTTGTAAGTGTATGGTCTTAGTATAGAAAAAGAATGAAGGAAAAGAGGATTAGAGAAAGAAAACTAATGTGCTACTCTACATTTTACAACCATTAAATACTAAACCCATTCACAGCAAAAACGGTAATTATCAAGATAATTTAAACGATAACTATATTAGCGTTCACACCAATGGATGAAAGTGTTCTGTTTATTATAAGTGCTATTTATGTGCCTGTCTTGTTTTTGTTCTTTAAAGTCTGAACACCATGATTGGCTGTCTATGTATCAATTATCAGCTGAAAAAAAAACGTTCTGAATGAAATTGCAAAAACCATTGTTCCTCGATGTCTTGATTGTTGTGGTGTGAACTTCCCCATGATCATAAATGTAAAATTATTATTTAAAAACCTATTTAAAAACTTTTATTAAAACATAATTTTTTTCTCATTATGTGTAAAGCGTTTTTAAACTGTACATTTTCCCTACTTTTTTCGATATTAACCTTCTTCTTCAGTGCTGCAAACCACAACGTATTGGCCCTTGCAGCTAAGAAATTCAGCTCCTGCTCTGAGAGCGTGTGAATGATGTCATGAAAGACGGGAGCTACTTCTGAGCCCTGGGGACACGCTCTATCATCAGATGTCAGTGCAGTGATCTTAGCAAGAATAGTTTGGACTTGCAGAGTTGTTAAACTCGAGCCCATTCCTCACTGATAGCAGAGGACAAAGCTTTTCTTAGACTATCAGAGGTGCAATATCTACTGTCTGAGATTGTTCTTTGCTAAAACTTTTGTTAGAAGAGCAGTAGTAGTGTTGAGTGATCTTCTAGTGGACATTAGTGGAAGACATTCCATTCTGAGTATCACTCATATAGTGAATACAGCCACCATAAAGGAGTGTAGTTTACTCATGTTCAGACAAGACCCCCACAGTAAAATGGCATTACAGGAATTTTTCACAGGTGAGAGTGCTGAACCAAACCTGCAATCAGTCATGACTAATATTTGTCAGTGGTTTTTGCAGGAATGACTCCCCAAACTTAGTACCTGTCTCATACTAGCACCGATACCCTGCTGCTTACATTAGTGTTTACACTGAGCAAACCACAGAGGAGTGGGAGAAGCACTTACAGAAAAGGACTAAAACAATGGCAGAAATGCTGGCTACTACATTTTGGCAAAACTCCAAAAATGTACCTGAACATACAATTCACTTCACTTACCAGCCAAAATTAACAATAGTGGTAGTAAAGCAACAAAAATGTTTATTCATTTTAACATGGGGCAGATTATCGATCAATAAAGACTTCTTTTCACACAATACTATGTTATGACCTCAAAACACTTTTATTGCAGTACGTGATTTGTAAACTAATTTGCATCACATAACCAGCTCCATATTTTTGCCTTTTGTGACATAGTAAACTTGCTCGGTAGCGCACCTGGTACACCACTGAACTTGGGTTCGAGTCTGGCGAAACACAAGTCACAATGGTTAGGTTTAGTGTAGGATTTAGTTTAGGTGGTACTTTTTTTAAACGCAGTAGAGCATTAACCTTTTAGTGCCACCCAGATATACAACAATCAACATAATAAAACAATGCCATATTCAAATTTGCCTGCTTCCAATACATCCAATAAAAAGGCAACATAACATCATATTGCAGAAATGTTGCAACAGGCACGCTTTTCCAATGAGCATGGGCTTCATTTGTCACATTAAGTTATTGATATGCAGACAGTAACATTGTAAATAGTTAAAAATTTTTGTTACATAACTATAAAAAACAATAAAAGACTCACTGCACCTTTATTAAAAGGCCAAAAACTGATTATGGTTGTAGTTCACAAAAATACAAATATACAAAATATTAAAAACCTACACACTACTGTTGCAAGAAAATATGCACAATTAATGTAAAATATTAAGATTTTAAAGTGTGAATTTCAGTCACATGTGACCTTTCTCATGCCTGATTACAATAGGTGCGTTCGACTTCATGCTGTACTGCGCAGATCGATCGCAATCTGACTTGAAGCAATGCATGCCGGTTAGTAATTTTGTCCGACTTGAGACGGTGCCAACGCCACGTCACTGTCACGTGTGGCATCAAAGCACCGCGAGAGCATTTCGAGAGCAGCCGGCTGACTCAGCTGGTGTCATGAGAAATCGAGTTCCCCCTCGAAATCGGGTCCACTTAGGACCAAGGCGGAAGCTGTTTTAAATGCCTGATCAAAAGTCAACACTTATGTTACTATTTCATTGTGAATATATGTATGGTAAGTGCAAATGCGTGGTGTATAAGCTAACCTAGCAGCCTAATCGGGTAGCTGTATGCTATGCTAGTACGTGAGCTAACCAAAAATAATAAATAAATAAAAACGAGAAATGTTTATAACCTATATAAGTGCTATAACCTATAGCTTCGGATACTAGCGTATGAAACATGTAATTTAAAAGACATTAATGGTCATTATAACAAAGTTCAAACGACATAAATCAAAGCGCGATTTTGCAGGAATTGTAATCAGGCGCTAAAAATAATACCCATTAAAAGTTCGTTGAGCCAATGGGATCACTCGGGGTCCTAAGCGGACTCGATTTCTCATGACACCGGCGCAGTTTCTCCAGAGCGGCTGCAGGAGTGTTGATGACGACACAGCCATTTCATGATTGGCCAGATTCACCGCATGACAACTATCGGGTTTATTCTAACCTTTTCAATTCCAATAATAGCCACAAATCTGTGTTTTTAGAACAGTAAACGCTTTTTTACTATAGTCGCAATGTTATATTGAGTCACGTTTATCATAAAACCCTGATGAAAGCATATATTCCCCCACTTTATTCGAATTTAAATAGTATATATTTACATTGAACTTTATTCTTGAACAGATGGCCATGTATTAAGCAGTATATAATCAGTATATATCTGTTGCTCATGAAAACGTTTCTGAAACGTCTGTATATTTGACAAATATTGCATTTAATTCACTTCATCTGTGATAGAGTATGCAAACACCGCGCGAGCGTCACTAACGAGAGAAGAAAGTGTCCGGCTTGACGGCTCTGTTTTCAACCCCCGACTGCAAGCAGCTACTCTCGTTGACTGCCGTCTGTAGCCATACTTCAAGTCGAACGCACCTAATGCTAAATCAACCATATTGGCTGATATAAGTCACATGATCAGTCACATGGCAAATGGCAAATCCATACTGAACCATGTAAGTCACCTGATAAAAAAAGTCACATAACTAAAAACATGGTAATGGGTAATGTGGTTCAATGCAGCTAGTAGGCACTTGCCTCGCTACGACACGTCACACATTCAATTCAGACACTACAGAGTAGCCAAAACAAAGAGACAATGGACAACCTGATAAGCTCCTGTTACATTATTCTTTACATATCTTAAAGGGATAGCTCACCCAAAAATGACATTTTCTAACTTACCTTCAAATCGACGC